ACATGAGTGTTCATTATGACAAGACCTTTCCATTGGTACAGAAATTTTTGATCATGTGACCTTAACTGTGACCTTTGACCTACATTTGAAAAAGTTTAACTTTGGCCATAACTATTGGACTGTAGTCTACGTCCCACTCCAGAATTGTGTTACCATCTGGGGCATAGTGTTTCACAAACACATCTTGTTTTTCCTCTATTCAGTATAAAAATATCAAATTCACACAAAATTGGATTTCTCATCTATTTCATTTGATAAACTATATATATATATATATATATATATATATATATATATATATATATATATATATATATATATATATATATATATATATATATATATATATATATATATACTCCTATACCTGCTCAATGCTTTTTCTCTGTTTTTTTCTTAATCTATTGAATTAAGGTACTCCTCCTGGTGCATAACAAGGTTTAGATTTTAAAACAATCGCCGTGGATGAGTGTTCTTCACATCTACACGTAAAGAAAAAAATCAGCTTGACTTTGTTCGAAGTAAAAATAGAAAATCTTTGCGTTTTCCTACTGGGGAAATACATACATCACAAACACCATATAACTAAAGCACAGACACTTGTTTCTGCAATACTTTTTAAACCGGAGTACAACACTAACACAAAGTTTCTAACTCCGAATTATATGGGCCCCCACCTCTTCTACAGAATCGCTGTTATTTACACTCTCAAAGAAAATGCTCTGGCATCATAATCTATCTACAAAACCACATTTATCATGCTTGTCTTTATTTTCTTTTAACTCCGTAAACAGTGTCGATATTCTGCTCGCCATTTGAAAAATTCGTCTCTCACCATGATGTGGTACAACCTTATGTTATACTATTATTATTCTACTATGGTTTAAAATATTCATCATAGAGACAAGTGCCTGCGAAAAAAGTTTAAAAGTATGTCAAGAACGCTGTGATAATGAAGCTCATTGGTATGGACCAGGATCATAGAGCAGTTTAAGACTTGACACAAAATTAGTACATTGTCTTAAATTCGTTACAGAAAACACAAAATTAATATTCCCCTTTCATATTGTAAATTATAATTTTCAAGGGTGTTGAAAACAAAATTTTAAGGTAACAACACAGGAAATAACTTCTACAGGACTATTTCTTTCTTCACAGTATACCGAAGACATTTTGACGAATATTTCTCTAATTTTATTGTAATTTTTGATGCAATGGAGAAATACGAAATACATGTTTGTCGAGTACACTCTAAATTTTCTGAGCTCTGAAGGTCACATTATGTTAATCATTATTCACAATATTATCATAGAATGCTAATTAATTAATTGAATTCTATAATCGAATAACATAAGAATCTACAGGTGATGGATTTGCACGAAATTGTCCAAAACTGGGAAGTCTTTGTTGATCACAATCATTGTAACAAGACCGAAACATGAGAAGACACATGTTTTCACACCCTTCATTATCACACTTAGTTAAAGCACACGTGTAATATGTGTCCCCACAGTTTTGACGACAGACTTCCATTTTTTCCAATAAGATTGGACTTAGTGTCGTTTTGACCATAAACATCGGAAATGCATTCGCGTCCTGAGCAAGAATTAATGCAGCATTATAGAGACAGATGAAAAAGATTATTGCCCCTTCTTGTAATCTGTAAATAAAGATGTGTTAATGTGAAACTACATTCCAATAAAAAATCAGAAACCGCTGCATTTTTCATTCAAAAAAGGATTATAAAGACATACCTCATATTCCCATATACAAATTACATATAGCCTTTATCACAAGCGTTGGGTTACAAAGTATGTCTGGCAGATAAGATTCTCATTTCAGAACGTTTATCTGTCATAACTTCTTCGTTTGAATAAAGAAAATGGAACAACCTTAAATCACAATGCAACATTCACAGATAATTCAAGGGAAAATGTGAAAGAAATAGATCATGTAAAAGCGAAAGTAAAAAACTCTTTTTTCCGATAACCTTAACATAATAATTGAATCAATCATAAGAATTACATTAATATAATAAACCCTTCTTGTGAAATAATATCACTTATTTTTTTTTCTGCAAACATATATTAAAACCATAATTTCTAGATTTACATTTTATATTGCATTATTTTCTTTTATCAAATCAAACATCACATCATAGGTCTGTGTTGAAGTAAGAAGGAGCTGGGTGGGGTAATCAGTTTCGAGTTAGGCGGTGGAATTTTGGCGCACATATTGTAACAGGATCGGAAGTCCAGAATACACCGGATATGACACTCATCATCAGCATCTTTACACACTGTTGTTGCGCATATGTAAAATCTGTCCCCACAATTTCCTCGACATTCAGAAATTTGTAGCATTTGAATCGGGTTCATCGTAAGTCTAATGGTATAGGGAGGGTTTTGAGAGAATACTCCTTCAAGAATGTATAATGTTAATACAACACTATACTGAGAATACACTGTCCTGTCAAATATAAAATTCAAAATAGTCGCATAATTTTAAACAATTGTCTTTGATAGTGGAAATTCTCATTCATTCGGTACCTTAAATAATTTGATTTTTTTGTTAATTTAAAGGCATCATACTGACCTCAACATTTGATCAGAAATTGAAAAAAAAAATCCCTCTTTCGATAATTCATATAGTGTGTGGGCTATCATGATAGATTAAAATTCGCTACGTAGGAGATAAGGTACATGGGTACATGGACTCACAAGAAAGTAATGATAAAAACGATTACATGTGTTACATTTGCAAAAATATGTCAAAGATCCTAGTCTCAGTGATAATCAAGGTTTTGGATACCATTTTCTAAAGAAGACTGCATTAAGAGGTCTAAAATGATAAAAAAAAATGTATATACATGTAGGTTCAGACTTCCAGTTTATCATTGCACCTTAAAATAATAATAATAAAAAAATCTTCCTCCAGTAAAAAATGCTATTATGCATGTTTGTGCATGAATATGTATAACTGTAATTTACTCTTTAAAACACTGCATTAAGTATTACTTAACGTTTTACGTTACACATTCTCATTTTATATATTTTTTGCAATAAATTTTGTTCAAATCAAGGTCTATCTCAAGCAACTTCAAGAGGGTTGTCAAATAAACTTCATGAATATTGTGTTTGTTCAAAATTGGAAAATCAGTACACTCGAACTCACTTACATTGAACTCTCTTTATTTGAAAAATCAGTTACTTTGAAATGAATTTAGTTTCACCTAAAAAATCTGGTACAGTTTCTTTCTTTTAAATGAAATATATAACGAATAGTATTCAAGCTCAAAAGTCCATTAAACATTACAAAATAGGCGCAGAGCAAACACGGACCTCCAAAACATCAGAGGTGGCATCAGGTGCCATGGAGGAGTGAGCATCCCCTGCCAACGGGTCACAACCGCCGTGCGCTACTTGTCATGATCGGGAAATAAAGCAAAAATCCGTCGACAATTCAGTGTGTAAATAATGGCCTAACAATTTGTATGAAAAACGTCAGTCAGCATTTGACTCAATGATTAATTGTATTTGCTGACAAGGTCATTGCATCGACCATAGAACTTACGAAATGATGACTTTAAATGACACTGCTGATATTCTTGTTTCATCAACTTGTTTGTCAATAATTTACCTCGTTTTAGATATTGTACATACGTAGAACATAGTTCTTGCGTATCGAATCAACTGAGAGATATAAACCCCGTATGCAGATGATGAAGGTATATTGCTGCATAAGTAAGGGAAGTTGACGATTGAAAAGTTAAAGACATCACGTTTATAATAAAGCTTGGATGTTAGATAACCATTAACGTCTTTTTCAAGTAAAATATCCAAATATGAAACAGAAGTGTCAGACTCTGTGGTATCTTTTATCTCAAGCTCCGACATAAGAATGGAAATAACCATTGTTAATTGACAATACGTCGTCGATATATCTTAATGTCGAGTTGAAGGCCATGGCAAGTGTTTTCTTTTCACATATAAGATTTTGGACAAATTCTGCTTCATATGAATATAAAAAAAGGTCTGCTAATAACGGGGCGCAATTGGTACCCATGGAAATTCCGATAGATTGTTGGAAGACCTGGTCTCCAAAAACCACATAGATATTGTCAATCAGAAACTCAAGTATCTATTTAATGTCAACTTCAGAGTACTTGTGTGTACAATCAGAATGTTTTTAACAAAATAATTTTGCATACTCGTTTAGATTGAAATCGGTTTAATTGAAACAATCGGTTATTTTGAAATAATTTTTGGGTCTGTCGAACACAAAGCTTGTAGTTTTGATAACGGTTACATTAAAATCGCCGATTGCGACGCGTGGACAAAGGTGACTGATTATATACGAAGTCTAGCACGTGTAAATTTTTCACACATGTGGTTTACTCTCGATGGACTTGTAAAAAATGAATTATGTCTTGTATAAATAAAACAATTAATTGAGCATTTCTCGCCAGAACATATTAGTCGTCATTTTTATTTTCTAACTACGGCATAAGGACCGACATGGCTAAAATACGGAGGGGTGTCGTGTGTAAATTGAAGTACGGAGAAAGTGCTGGAGTAAATAAATTCACAGTAATTGATAGGAAAATAAACTTCTTAACTTGAATCGAAGTATATGAAGCATATGTTTTCAATGCGACGGGACAGGGTTGTTCTACAGATGTGAACTTGGGAAATTATTGTATCTATACGGCAATGTAAAGACGAACTTTTGAGTCATGATAGTTTTCTAACACGAATCAACAAAAACAGTTGAAAAGGGGACTTCTTTGAAAAATAAAGATACATATGTTTCTAAAACACTGCACGTAATGTTATGTAAAAAAATGAATTATTGCCCGTATATTGTTTTTACCGTATCCGCATTTTACATGTAACTCATGGCACACGGTTATAATGAAATTCTGTTAATTTGAAATCAATCTCAAGGTCCTCTAAATTTCAATGTTAACGACTTTGATTGTATATTATTTAATAACCTATAGTGCAAGTAAAATTGTGATACATACATAGAAAGAGAATGATAAACAAATTTATAACATGAAAACAGGTACAAGTATATAGTACCTGTACATATGCAATTTAATTATCATAGCCACTCCAGTCAACGCTTATCTTGTCTACAACTCAACAATATTTTCTTTCTCAGCATAAAGAATGAGAGAGACAGTTCCCTCTCTTAGAGAATGTTTTTAGTTCAAAGAAAAGATATATTCTTCAAAAGTTTGTTATCTGTAAGTTCACCTAAATATGTTTGATTCCAATATTTTATTGAATTACTTATTGATTGATTAATAAAATGGTTATTAAGTTGACAGTAGGTAAGCATATTTAGTGGAAAATATCTCTTCTATTATATTCATAAAATGATTTTTTGAATCGCTTGCTACTGTTTTCTTATCACACAATGCTGTTATAGTTTTCAGATTTCCCAGAGTTTTTCTTCATTCCTGCCTTGGAAAAACTAGTCATCTACGGTAGACGTATGATCCACTGAAACATCCACTAATTCTATATGAGGATGGATATTTATGTAATCAATGATATTTTCCTGAACCAACACTGCATCTAGGTAAGATTCATCTGCATTGTTAGGTACACTATATGGTCCCTCAGTATTGACATTTCTCTGTTCTGAAGATGCCTGTGTTGTGCTCTCTATTCTTAGTTCGGGTAAGCGTTCATAATCCTTGTCCATCTCTTCTATCACGTCATAATCAGGATCAAGGTACGGACCATCTGATGCGACAAAAGTGTCTTCGTAATGAGAACTTCTTGTCTTTGGAATGCTAGGAAGGCGCATCAAGTCTTTTCTTCTTTTCCTCAATAGCATTGTTCTGTGATGAAATGAAAAACACAAAAACCAATTTCAATTTCTGTTCAAGTGTTTTGAAGGCTACAAATAGCAACTCGTTGGACATTGAAACTTTAAAATTTCTTAATCTTATCAATTAAAAATAAATATACAAACCCAGAAACAAAATTGTTAAAAGAAATGGTGAAGATGGGCAAATTCAAAGCATTTATGTGCAATTTTGAATACAATAAAGTCAAGATGGAATTGGATGAAAGTGAGAATTCCCTATCACAGAGACTTCTGCTTTTCATGAAAAAGAAGATAGAAGTATGTGCCCATGTAAATGAAAGAGTTGGCATTGTTCTCTTCGTGCACTGCAATGAATTAATGCATCTGATATATATAGACTAGTATATTTATATACTAGTAAATTTATGCTTTTGGTGTAAAAGCGATGTTATCAAACATAGCGAATCCATATCTGAAAACATTGTAAAACATCTGAAAATGATATCATATCGACATTCACTGTATAAAGGAGTAAACATGTAATAAATAAATTTAATACATTTTCTATAGTGAAATACAGTAATTTATCTATTTAATAAAAGTGATATTCTGTCTCAGTGTGAAAGGATATCAAAGTGGTATTCTGTCACAGTGTGCCAGAAAATCAGAAGCGCGGTAAATCTCCCTTACTCTCTCCCTTCACGAAGAATGTTGTAAAAAAAAATACTCCCTTGGCTGTTATATGATAAAGAGAGTAAATAAACCATCTTAAAAGAACATACAACCGCCAAAGTTTCTCCAAATATGCTGTTAGAATCCATGTTTATAATGTTTTCAATCTCACAATCACTTAGCTTTGACGTTTTAACCGCTCAACTATGACGTTACAACCTATGACACTGTGTAATAAAAAGACAGAGGCAAATGGAAAATCAAAAAAAAAAAAAAAAAAAAAAAAAAAAAAAAAAAAATGAAATAATAGAAAATTCAAAGTTTTGTAGTTGATTAAGGAATTTCTTTCATACTTTGATACTTTAAATTTAAGAAAAATCCTGTCACACTCGTGAAATAAATTCCATATCCATTTACAAAACATTAAAAATCCTCTATAAGTAAATATTGTAAATCAATGATAGAAATTGCAAGCTTCTCTTTGTTCAATACAGAAACAGCTCAAAAGTCCATTAAACATTACAAATTTTGGAGCAGAGCAAACACGGACCTCTAAAACACCAGAGGTGGGATCAGGTGCCATGGAGGAGTGAGCATCCCCTGCCGACCGGTCACAACCGCCGTGTGCTCCTTGTCATTATTGGGAAATAACGGAAAATACGTCGACAATTCAGTGTGTAAATAATGGCCTAACCAATAAGTGTAAAAACGTCAGTCAGCATTTAACTCAATGATTAATTGTATTTGCTGACAAGGTCATTGTATCAACCATAGAACTTACGAAATGATGACTTTAAACGAGCTTGCTCTATGTATGAGATGAAAAGGATGAGATCAATAAAAGTGAAAACTTCAATGAATGCTGTAAGCTAATAAGAATTAGCGATGTCAAACTAAATGAACCTGCCATTTTGAATTATTCAGTTCTAATTAATAACAAGAAAACTCTTTTTAAGTCTTCTTGCTTAACGCTTATTGTTATGATATGAATCGAGAAAACATACCTCATTTTCAATAAGCTGATTGCAAAGATGGTGACAAAAAAGAGAAAAAACCCAAATCCCACGAGCACTGAAACATAAATTATATAAATCCTACCGTCACAAATAAAAACAACTAAGCATTCTTATGATTGTTAAAAAGAAATTAAACAAACAGGCATAAAAGACATAAAATGTAAAAGGTAAAAATAACAAGCAAAACATATCTTTTGAACAGTAAAACAAATCACCTTCAGATATAAGGATACTAAATCCTACAGCTACAGAAATAAGGGTTAAAGATTAACAAGGGCAATAATATACACTTATCCAATGGCTGTGAGTGGGATAGCTCGTATATCAAACCCGCGACAGGAACTATTCCCCGAGGGCTTGCCCGAGGGGAATAGTTCCTGTCAAGGGTTTGATGAAAGAGCTATCCCACTCACAGCCATTGGATAAGTGTTTTATTATACTGATGTATATCATAATTTCTGAGGGTTGAATTACCTGATACTACAGTCTCATAGGCAAAACATGAAAAGAATAATTATAATAGTTTTGAACAAGTATTTGGAATAAGATAACACTGCAAGAATGCGCTGAAATCTTGATGACGTCACAATGCTACTGAAGTCAGGATGACATTATCAGTCTATAGATTGATTATAGGAAATCAAAATTGGCGGCAGAAATTGCATGAAAATTTTTCCGAGTGGTGGATAGCAAAAACTATACCCCGGGGTATAGCTTTGCTATGTGTGGAAATTTTCAGACTATCAAAGATAGTTATTTTACCTTCTTAACTTTATATAGGAATATTTTAACAGAAGTATAATAAATTAAAATATAAAACACATCCGACAATCAATACAAATCTTATAGCACTGTTATTGACATGTGCATCTGAAAAAAATAAGTATCGATTTATTTATTAATGAAATAAACGGAGGACTGCAATATATATATATATATATATATATATATATATATATATATATATATATATATATATATATATATATATATATATATATATATATATATATATATATATATATATATATATATATATATATATAATTATATATATATATATATATATATAGAGAGAGAGAGAGAGAGAGAGAGAGAGAGGATATTCAATGTTTTGTAGCTGGACATGGAATTTATTTCACGAGTGGGACAGGATTTTTGATATTTTCACGAGTGCGAAGCACAAGATTTTGTTTGAATTAAACAACTGTATTTTAATTGTTCTAAGCATGATACTAATTCCTTAATCAGATGATACATTTTCCTTAAAAAAATATGTAAACATCTTGCAAGGTGCATATTTATTTATTTTTATGAAGTAATATCTAAACAACGTATCTTAATGAAAATTTGTTATTCGTAGGACTAAGATTCACCAAACTTTCACAAACTTACAGAGAAGCAGACTCTGATTTATATTCGTCGTTGTGTCTTGAACTGTGTTTTTTCCATCTAAATGAGAAAATATAACGCATAATAATTCTACATATAATTATGTAGACTTGTAATCCAACAAATTATTACCATAGATATTACGTAATACTTCGGTAAATGTACATTTTCCGAAACTGATACTTTTTATCATTTTGTGTAAAAATGCAGAACATGATTTATATTGCCTACCGACTACAGTACCTGGTGAAACAAACTCGGAGAAGTTATTCTTTATGCCTAAAAAATTAAAAGATAACAAAACAATGTTTTGTATATAAAAACATATACCGTATATAATCAAATTATATAATATTAATGTACAATAATTAAAACACTTCCCAGATATTACAGTTACAGGCACATAGGGACTGGACTCCCCCCTCCCCCCTTTTTAATTTTTTTTTCAATCTGGAATCGATACACCTTTTTCCTATGTTAGTATTCTAATATGTACTACATTCTATCGATAATGTACTCCATTTGTTTCTATTAACTTTTTTTAAATATATCGTTTTCGACTGATACATAAAAAGAGAGAAGGCTTGCAGCTCTTTTCTCGTCATTCGCCGCACCTTGTTCAAACTTTGCGTGATTATTTATTTAAAACATAATAAAACATGAAATATGTATACATCAATGAATTGTTACACATTCTTCTTCCTTTTCATATTTCCATAAAATTTTAAGTGCCACCGATTTGTAAATATTTCGATGCATTGCGAAGAAAAATGTGATTTTCCATTATACTCTACGGGTCTCCTTTGTAGTGAACAAGTACAATATTAGATAGTTGTCTTAATAACTTCAGTTATCTTTCAGTTCGTGTTGAAGAAAATATGTTATATAACCAGAGATTGATTCATTCGAATACAAGAATCATTATTTTAATTTGTGAAGATACTCATTATGTGTCTTAAACATGTAATGGTTATCATTTTTATTATAAAACGATAAAGGAATAGCTGGTCCAACGATTTAGATTAAAAAACAAAGACTTATAGGGCCTAATATATTTCGTCATATTCTTTTCTAAAGAAATGAGAAAAGAAAATTACTTACAAAAGTTGATTCTGGATGAAAACTGTTTGGGAACCAGGTTTATAAAACTATTTGCGATGTTTATTTTGTCTTTGGTCAAACAGGTGGAGTCTGTGTCATTAGTTACCGTTGCTAGCACACAATTTATTATTCCTACTACAGTTCTATAAGCAGGAAAAAAGACACATGACATACTGGGTTGTATGGAAAAAGTTTAATTGTAAATAAGTAAGATTACTTTTGCTCCCACTTTTATGAAGTAATTTAGAAAAACAAATCTCATTTGATTTAAAACGTGCAGTATGAGTTACACTCAATCACATCAAGCAAGGAAAATAGAATACTATACACTCTACTTGACATAGACAGAATTCAAATGAAAAATAGAACAAGATAAATAGAACATGTGCAATAATTTTTAGAGTTGTAAAACTGTTGGAGAGAGAGAGAGAGAGAGAGAGAGAGAGAGAGAGAGAGAATCAAAAGTTCGTCATCTTATTATCCATTAATGAAATCAATATTAATAATAAAAAAAAGTAAACAAATACAATTTTATTTTATGGATAAATTGATTGTGTGTTGTTTTACGTCCGTTCCAGAAATTTTCACTCACATAGAGCCGTCACAATATACCGATGAAAAGCTTCAAATTAAGACCTTTACAAAGCATTAAGGGCCATTGAGCAGTGAGAGATCTTTATAGTGCCAACACCTGTCGTGACACGGGACTTCGGTTTTTTAGGTCTCATCCGAAAGACCCATAACCTTTACTTCAAAGTGCCGAGCGCTTGGTGAAAGAATAGTAACTACCTAATCTTTATCGACTTTGGTAAGTCTTTGCCGGTGTTCCAAGAATTTTGACCATGATTGAAAATTGACTCGGGGTTCATTTTTCAACGATGAATATTGAGTCGGGGGTGGCTTTTGAAAATTGAGACCAAAAGTCGTGAAATTTATACCCGGGTTTTTTTAACAGCTTTTTTACGACACTTATGGCACTTCCCAGTGAACTTGAAATAAAAGATACCACGGAATCTGACACATCTGTTTCATATTTGGATATTTTATTAGAAAAAAAAACATTAATGATAACCTAACAAAACTCTGAGAGAAACGTAATGACTTCAACTTTTTTTTTATCGTTAACATCCTTTAAATATGTAACAATATACCCTAATCACCTGTCGCCCGCATTTCGCAGTGGTTAGAGCGTCTGCTCTAGAGTTACGGAGTAAGGAGTTGATCCTTACGTCGCGGGTTCGATCCCACTGTGGGACGTGGAGACCGGTCCGTCGGATGAGACTGTATAAACCGAGGTCCCGTGTCGCAGTAGGTGCTCGCACGAAAAAGATCCCTCACTGCTCAATGGCCCTAAGTGCCGAGTATAGGACAAAATTTGCAGCTCTCCACCGGCAAGTGGTGGCGTCTCCATATGAGTGAAAAATTCTCGAGAGGGACGTTAAACAACATACAAACAAACAAACAAAACCCTTATCACCTTACCCTATATGAGGTTAATATCTGCCAGTTGAATCGATACTCAAGAGCATGCTCTACGTATAAACTATTTCTAAAACAAGGCAAGCTTTTGAAAAACAAGTCGATGAAACAAGGATATCAAGTCTTGTTTAATGTCAATATTTCGCAAATTCTATGGTCGATACAATGACCTTGTCAACAAATACAATCTATCATTGCTAGTCCAATGTTCACACACTGATTTTTCACGGATTTTTTTTGCCGTATCATGACAAGGAGCACAGGGAGGGTGTAGCCGGTTGAAAGGGGATGCCCCCTCCTCCATGACACCTGATCCCACCTCTAATGGTTTTAGAGATCCGGGTTTGCTTTGCTCCCTATTTGTATTGTTTCAATGGACCTCTGAAACTTGATTACTGTTCATTATCTCCATATTTCATTTATTAATTAAGAATACGTAGTAACGTCAATGAACTCGAAATAAAAGACACTACTAGGTCTGTCACATCTGTTTCATATTTGGATGTTTTACTGACTAAAGAGGATGATGGCGAGCTAAGAATTCAACAAACGTGATGACCAATTTTTCCACAAGATGTGAAGAAAACGAACTTGAATCATACTGATAAGTTAAAAAAAATACAAATTGTGAACAAAGGAAATACAGACTTTGAAAACCTCTCAGGTAAGATCAAGTGCAATATTAATGGAGGCGTAAAATCCCCTGTCGACCAGTCACTGATTGACCGTGGTCATGATCGGTTTAATAGGGGAAATCTGTGGTCAAATCAATATGAAAATAATGGCATGACAATTTCAATGAAAAACATCGATCAATATTTGACCTAACGACAAGTTGTATTTGTAAACAAGGTCATTGTATCCACCAAGAATTTGCAAAATATTTACTTTAAATGAAATTGCAGATACTCTTGTATCATATTTTTTTTCGTCAGTAGTCTGCCTCGTTTTTGAGAAAATTTTTGTATAAAGAACATGCACGTACGTATCAAATCAATTAGGGGAGAAAAACATCACATGCAGGTGATAATAGAATATTGCTACAAAAATATGACATGCTGAGAAAAGAAAAGTTGAAGTCAATTCATGTTTGTCAGAAAGATTAGCTGTTAGTTTGCTATTAATGTCGTTGTCTAGTAAAATATCCAGATATGAAACAGGTGTGTGAGACCCAATGGTGTCCTTTTTATTTCGAGTTCAATTAGCTATTTTGAACCAATGAATGAAAATCAGTTGTATTAATTATGTTAATTGATAATAAGTCATCGATGTCTAAATGTTGAATTGAAGGTCACAGCGAGTAACTCCTTCTTATCGTTTTTGTGAATAAATTCCTCTTCATAAAAATGCAAAAAATAGGTCTGCTTATAATGGTAATAATAAAAGAAGCCCTTTTTGTTTAGTGTTTCTTTAAATTGCTCCTCCAAGGGCATATGATATACATGTACATGTATATATTAGAAATAAAATAATGCGTATTTTTGCGATCAGTCCTTAGAAAATTCGAGATCTTCCTTTTTATAGTGCTACATGTTTGGTGCAAATTGTCCATTTAATTGAATATCTTTAAATGAACATGTTTATTTAAATTATAAAAATTTTTGTTATTGAATTTTGACCCGGTTTAATGATCGAAATTTATGGATGTGGCCTTATTTTCAATAAGCAAGGGTCTGAATTTTACACCGCTTGTCTCATTATTAAATGTTCAAATATGAACCCCCCCCCCCCCCCAGCCAATTTTCATCCTAGGTCAAATTCTTCGTTACACCGATATTTGAACCAACGACGGTTCATCATATTAGCTATAATTTAAACAATCAATTCCAATTCTAAAACTCAACATCAATAAATGCAGTTTGAGTTTTATCATGAACATTACGTGTAAAAACATTTTCATGTCACTTCACTCATTCACAACTTTCAAGACGAACATTTCACTTGCATATGCTATGCGAATAAATTCCACGGAATTTTGATGATTTTTCCTATATTTAAAGAAAACAAACCTCTGTATGGATCCTGTATAACAAGGAATTATTTCATTTTGCAGAGAATAATTTGCTTCTGTTACGTTTTTATTTTAATTTGAACACAAACCATGCAGATCTGACAATAAACTGGAACATACCTACAGTGTGAAAGCGACAGCGTAACCTACTTGTCAGTCAAATAATTACATCTGTAAGAAATTTACTCTCTCGACATAACAAACTTGATTTGTCTCTCTTAAGAATTAAACTTCCATAACGGTACTCCACTATTTTTTTTTTTTTTTTTTTTTTTTTTTTTTTTTTTTTTTTTTTTTGCATTTAATGTGTAAAAAGATTTAACATTTTAGAAATGAACGAAATATTCACTTCAATTTTTGGATTACCATTCAAATACAAACATTAATTATATACAATGTATATTGGCCGATGTATGTAATTATAACTCTTACCTAAAAAAAAAAATAAACATAAAATAGTGATACTTTGAACAGGGGTAGCCAAGTGGACACGATAGTTATATTATTATCTACATATTAAAATATTCGACATACATATGTCAATTCGAAAAAAAATACGCACTGGAAAACTGTAAGAGTGATGTAGCCCCTGGACCTTTTTTAGGTTGGTATTTCAATTGATAAATTCTTAACCGGTCTAAAATTGAAAGTTCTGATTAAGTTAATTCACATTTTGAAAGGTTTTTTGGAATGAGTTTCTGTAAATCGGAAGATTAATAATAATTTCAAAAACAGTTTACAACTTGAAATTGATGATTTTGTCGCTAAAACAGTAACTTATACAAAAATGATTGAAAACACACATTGGAAAGTAATTAAATTCAATCATTAAAATATTCTTGTATATTTTGTCAAATCAAATGACAATTTCTAATAACAAATTAGAAAGACTTAACTTTCTTGATAAATACTCATTGCGTTTGTGGGAAATGCATTCAAATAATTTTTCAATTATAGGAGTTTTGAAGCTACTTCTTTATTCGTATTATATGAAATATGAAGATAACAAATAGATATCAAGCTCAAAGGCCCATTCAAATTAAACAATACATGTTGGGAGTAGAGGAAACACGCACTTTTAAAACATAAGAGGTGGAATCAGTTGCCCTAGAGGAGTAAGAAATCCCCTTTCGAACGGTTTCACCCGATATGTGCTCCTTGTCATAATTGGGTAGACGGAAATATTTGCAGACAATTCAGTGTGAAAATAATGGTCCTACAATGTATATGAAAAACTTCAGTCCACATTCGACTTAACGATAGATTGCTAACAGGGTCATTGTTTCGACCATAGATTTTGCGAAATGTTGACTTAAACAAGACTGTTGATATCCTTATTTCATAAAATTATTTGTTAAAAGTGTGTCTCGCTTTAGAAATCTTTCGTACGTATAACATGCTTTTGGGAATCGAATCAACTGGGAGTCATAAACTCCATATCTATCTGGTAATGGTATATTGCCATGTGTATCAGAAAAGTTGAAGTCATCACGTTAATCATAGAGTTTAGTTGTCAGTATGCCATTTATGTCTCTCTGTAGTAAAATATCTAAATAAGGAAATATGTCAGACTCTGTGGTGTTTCCTTTATTTTGCTTTAAAAAAGGGTATATCTAATCAGCGTAGATATGACAATGAATATTG